TGCCCACTTTGGCTGTTGCTTGAAGCCGAGAGGAGGAGCTCCACATGCCAGAGATCAAAGTCTCTTCTACTGGCCAGTAATGCTTGGATGTCTTAGAAGATTCTAGAGGGGATGGCGCCTTATGCTAGAAGTCACCCTTCCATCTCTTAAGATGTCCCTGGGTCATAGTGGTTTGGTTCTCCTGACATATTAGACTAGGATAAAATGAGCTTTAGTGCAGATTAAGGACCTGGGTTTCCTTGTGGACCACAAAGTCAACACTGGTCAGCTCCTCGAAAGGCAAAGACTAAGGAGGGGGCCTTTTCAGACACAGGGTTGCAATTCCTTCCTAGTTCTAGGTTGCTTCTCTCCTGAATTAGTTTCCATCCATTGTTTCTTGCCTCGCTTTCTGATGCTTTAGAAAATAGCAAACATTAAAATGAATAGAATATAGAATAAAATAGAAAACACCAGCCCTTTCCCAGTCCTCTGGCACTTCCCCCGTGCTCCAGGAGCTCGGAAAGATTTTGGTTAGGAAGGTTTGTGCTTAGGAAGGATAGCCTTAGGAATTTCTGGCAAGTAGGGTGGGGAGGAAATGAGTAGCCTTGATTTTTTTTAAAAAAAGTAATAATAATAGTCAAACAAGGACTATTTTGTTTCCCATTATTCCTGACAGGGTCTGAATGTGTCTCCTTTTCTTATTTCTTGGCTGAAGAGTTAGAAATAATTAAGTCTGCAAATGACACAAAGTTATTGGGGACGGAAAACCTTTGAGGGCATTATCAAGTTTCAGAAGGACCTTCCGTTCTGATTGAGGTCCAGCAAGATGGACGCTCAACAGCCACAAGCACAAACGTCTTCATTTGGGTAGGAAAAATAATGTTCTTGGATTACAAGGAAGCGGTTTGGCTGGATGTTAGGAAGACTTTCCAATAGTAAAGGCTCGTTGCCAGTAGAAAAGCAGACCAACCCAGGAAACACTTCCAGCTGGAGACAAAGGCCTTTTCCCACCACAGAGGTCTCATCCTTTGGTGAGCAGGAGGCAATATGAGCATGACATGCATCCTCCCATCACTGCTGCTTCTCCTGCCCCACAGCTTCTTTTCCAGCCTCTCTGGACCCCAACAAAGAGTCCCTTGGGAGTTGGGTGGCATAGAAATGCGATACATTAAATTGAATTAAATTAAACATCCTTCCAAGTAATGGGAGGCAAAACCGAACCATTCAATACCCCTCCAGGCTGGAGGGAGGAAGACCCCACACGTAAACCTGAAAGGCAGCTCAGCAGGACCACAAGGGAGGCAGGCAGGCAGGCAGGCAGGGGATAATAGCTTGTACCCTCCACCTCGACTGGTGAGCTGCCCTAAGTTGTGGTTGCTGTGAGGAGAGTGCATTATGGGGCCCTTGATCAGATCAACCAGATTTAAAGCGTCTCTTCAAAGGGAAAGAGCAGTCAGACAGTGGGGCTATGGGGAGGTCACCGCCATGATATGTGTCACTGTGACTTGTATTTTACAGCGATAGATCTGACTCCTTGTTTAAAGGCTGGATTGGGTGAGGTGCTTGTTTTCAGGGTCTCCCAAGGAATCTAATTCCACAGAGAGTGAAAGATATTCAGATGCTGTGGAGAGGTTTATTTTAAATTAGCTAGGAAGCTCTTTAGGGAGCCTAGCTGTTCAGGAGCCCATTCTAATGCTTGCCATGGTTTCTGAACTCTGAGATGTGCCCTCAGGGAGCAAAGTGCCTTCCCAAATGACCAGGGGGAAGGTTAACACCCCCACCCACATTTCAGGGAATAAATTACATCTGGGGCCAAACTCCACCGAAGAATAAATGAGTCCATAGTTTCTTCAAAGCACTTGTGGGGCCTGACCTTCCATTTCCGTCCCCCATTCCCAAGCCTGTGCAACTCTCTCTCTCCTTTGCTCACTGCCTTCTCTTTGACCTAGCATGTCAAACACCAGGTTTCCAATGAAGTGATCCTTTCAGTCATTACCCCCCCCTTCCAAGCCTTTACCATGACCTTGTGGTCAATTCCCCCACCAGCCATGGGTGGAACAGACTGTATAGTATTTTCCCAGACTTTTAACACAGTCCAACCACTTATCTCTGCAGGTCTCCACCAGCCAATAACTTTTCAAGAGGGCATATGGGTTGGTTCCTTAGCTGAGTAAGGCCAGACCTGGAATCTTGCATCCAGTTTCAGTCACCACATTACAAAAAAGATGTTGAGACTTTGGAAAAAGTACAAAGAAGAGCAACTAAGGTGATTAAAGGCCTGGAGATTAAAATTTATGAAGAATGGTTGCAGGAATTGGGTTTTACTAGTCTAAAGAAAAGGCCTAGGGGTGACATGATAGCATTATTCCAGTATTTGAGGGGCTGCCACAAAGAAGAGGGGGTCAACTTATTTTCCAAAGCACCAGAGGGCAGGACAAGAAACAATGGATGGAAACTAACGAAGGAGAGAAGCACCCTGGAATTAAGGAGAAACTTCCTAACAGTGAGAACAATTAACCAGTGGAACCTCTTGCCTCCAGAAGTTGTAGGTGCTCCATCATTGGAGATTGTTAAGAAGAGAATGGATAGTCCCTTGTCTGAAATGGCGTAGGATCTTCTGCTTGAGTAGGGGGTTGGACCAGAACACCTCCAAGGTTCCTTCCAGCTCTATTCTGATTGATGGACTCTAGCAGAGGAGGAAACTGCTGGCTTTGCCTTCTCTTGTGAGCCCCATCATCACCATCCCAACATTCATGATGTCCTTGTATTTTTACAGAGCTGAGCATTCATCTGAAAAATAGTAGCCCTGAGAGACAGGACACTGTTGTCCAATTTCAGGCAGCTGGAATTTATTAGAGGAGAACAATCTGTTCTGAATTCATTGCTGCTTCAGGAAATCCCTTCAGGGATCAGAGCCAAAGACTTATGGCAGGAATGCTGGGCGGAGGCCAAAGCAAAGGCCCCGGTCAGCTTTTGCTCAGGAGTAGGAAGAAGGCGATCCCTAGCTCAGCAGAGAAGGACTCGTTCTCAGAGCTGGAAGAATTCAATGAATTTGAATATTATAAATTAACATGAAGTCCCTGAGTTGGATTTAACTGTGGTAGTAAATATTTAGCAAATTCTGGTAAACAATTAAATGCATAAGAACAGTGTCCAGATATGGTGGACATATTTTACTTCGAAGACCGACTCGCAGACAGAATTAGCAATAGCACTTAGACTCATACACTGCTTCACAGTGCTTTGCAGTCCTCTCTATGCGGGTTACAGAGTCAGCCTCTTGCCCCCAACAATCTGGGTCCTCATTTGACCCACCTCGGAAGGATGGAAGGCTGAGTCAATCTGGAGCCTGAGATTTGAACTGCCAAATTGCAGGCAGCCGGCAGTCAGCAGAAGTCGCCTGCAGTACTGCACTCTAACCACTGTGTCACCGTTCTCAGAAAAGCCAGACTCCAAATCAAAACCGTCAAACAAGGGAGGTGACCTGTTTATGTCCAAGAGTTCTGGAGCCTGGCTTGCAGATTTACCGACTGGCTTCAAGACATGCTGACTGAAAGTTTCCAAGATGGATTAAACAATGAAGTCTTATATACCTGCTTGTCCCGCACTACGCACTACGAACCCTGCAAGGGTGGTACATTCTAGCTGACAAAGTGGAGATTGACTTGGCCAAGTAGCATGGATGCCCCAGCTGGGAGCAACAACGTCCCTTCTGCCCAGAAAAGAAAGACACCCCAAAACCTGGGAAACAGGATCACAGCCCACGCCGCCAGCCTACCAATTGCTTCCGTTGTGGCAAAGAAGGGCACTGATTGCAGAGCCTCCCAACCAGCGTTCAAGACAGGACAGCAAGGGGGCAAAAGTCCTACCAGACCCTCTGAGTCTGCCTTGAGCGGAGGTCTTCAGGTTCACCCCACCACCTGGCCATGGTGAGGGAACTCTGACTAAACTCCCAGGCCCTGGGACAGAGAGTGACAGAGGGACGGATGATGGTCCCCCGGGAAGTCACCCCAGGATACTGGTGACAATCCCAGTAGAGTTATCCCACACTATCCCCATGCAGGGATAGCGTGATTGCCCAGTTGGACTCGGGCTGCACCAGGACTCTGGTCAGGCCCACCGTAACGGAGAGACTGGGGTTACGTCTCAGGGAATTAAAGGTCCCAGTGGCTCTTTGCCGACTGGATGGCTCTGTTGCGGGGGAGGCAATGAATTTGTCACTGAACCAGTAGGAATGAAAATGGGGTCCCACAAAGAGACAGCTTCATTGTGTCGCCAGGAGTGGACAGATCCATGGAGCTGGGCTTAGACTGGCTGCTAAAACGGAATCCTTCTGTAAATTGGAGGAAACGGATACTAAAAATCAGGTGCAAACAGGTCGGGGAAGGGTTAACAGAGAAGTCAGCATCGCCCCGTGAGAGCAGGTAAATTAAGCTAATTAAAGAAAAAATGTATTGTCATCAAGGATAATCTTTCCCCTCCCCGGACCAATGGAGCTGCCTCCCTCCTCATCCTTGCAATGGGCTTCCAGTTTGCCACATGGCAGAAAGGAGAGGAGGGGGACGCAGGAAGGCAAAATGGAATCAGCACTCTAAGCAGAGACCTGAAGCACCAGGGATTTGTCTTAATCTCGTCCATTAATCAATTCCTGTGTCGAAATTGAATGAAGAGTCTTTCATCAGTTTCACATCCTGGATTAGCAAACAGAAGCTGCTCTCTGGGGCTGCAAATGAAGTGGGGGGGGGCCTCTGCTCCTCCCTCTTCCTATTGGCGTGAGCAGAACCTAAATGAGTGGGTGGGTGCTTTGCTGCTTTCAGAAATCTGGCCCTAGATACAGTAACTCTGGCCTTTAATTTTTGGAAGCCAATGGCATTGAAACAGCTACGGAAGTGTCTGTGGTGGAGTGGCAGTTCCTGGGTTCCAGGAAGACACTGCCAGACATGGGTGGGCATCATTCTTGGTGTGGCCCCAACAGTTCCTGGGTTCATCGGCCAAACCCCTGAAAAAGCTGCCCCCAGAGAGACTTCTTGCTACCAGGGGCTGCAAGGTGGATTTCCTTGCCTATGCTGGGTATCCTTGTGTTTTAATTTAATCTGGTTTTATTTATTCAATTCAGGAGCCATCATACCAACTCCAGGTGTATATAATAAAGGTAAGCAAAAACAGAAAGTAAACTATAATGGAATGATAAAAGAGAAATGATGGTGGATCCAGCTAATAACACATTGCAAAACGGATCGAAAGGGGCTGCAAGCAGGAGAAGAGGCAGCTCCTGAAGGCTCCTGGGAACAGCCTTAGGGGCAGGAGCCCCATAGATTGCAGGGGGGACCTCATTCCACACAGCAGGTGCCACGACTTGCTTCCTTATCAGGTCCTGATAAATGACGGTTTCCTCTGTCTTGAAATGCCACCCGGTCAATGTCACCAAGCAGAAGAAAGCTTGTCGGCTTAATTTCCCCCGTCTGTTAATTGGTTCTAAAAATTATGCTTTAAGCAGAAAACTCCCCTCCCCCCCTTAATCACTGAGCCCAGAGTGGCCCCCATTTGCATTTTCCTCTTAAACCAAAATGACAAATATGTTAATGCAGCGATGGGCGAGGGGAAGAACGTAGCTCAGTAGAATCACTTCCTGAGTGGCTCCTTTCAATAGACGCATTTTAGGACAATGCACTCATCCAGCAGAAAAGGAAAGTTCAAGCCGCATGTCCTCAAGAGGCTTTTGAGAGCCCTGCAGAAGACAACAAATACTTTCATTTGCTTTCCTGGGGGGAGGCGGTCAAAGAAAAAGTTCGAAAGGACAAAACTACAAGAACACAAAACAGCTTTATAATCCAAAACAGAAGTCATGTTTTAGAGAAAGGGGAGGAAATCCAAATAACATAGACTAAGAGTTTCCTCTCTCTTTCCTCCCACCTTCTGTGATATACTAAGTATTTCTTTTTCTTTCTTTTTTTAAAGAGTAATTGGTAGGGGAAGGGGGAATCATAAAATAATAGAGTTGGAAGGGACCTTGTAGGTCATCTAGCCCAACCCTCTACTGGAGCAGGAAACCCTATTTACACCATTTCAAATAAATGATTGGCCTGTCTCTTCTTGAAAGCCTCCAGTGATGGAGCAGCCACAACTTCTGAAGGCAACTTCTGTTCCATTGGTTGATCGCTCTCACTGTTAGGAAATGTCTCTTTAGTTCTAGATTGCTTCTCTCCTTGGTTAGTTTCCATCCATTTTTTCTTGTTTGCTTTTGGTGCTTTGGAAAATCGTTTGACCCCCTAATCTCTGTAAGAGCCCCTCAAATATTGGAAAACTGCTATCATGTTTCCCCTAACCCTTCTTTTCTAGAACATATCCAATTAGACTAGACATACCCAATTCCTGTAATCGTTCTTTGTATGTTTTAACCTCCATCCCCCTAATCACCTTTGTTGCTCTTCTCTGCACTCTTTCCAAAGTCTCATCATCTTTTTTATATTGTAGTGACCAGAACTGGATGCAGAATTTCAAATGTGGTCTCATCAGTGTGGTGTAAAGTGGCCCTATCATTTCTGGATACTGGAATGCCATTGCTTCTAGTTCACCCTGTTTGTTTCCCAAGCTTTGAGCATTTAAGACTTTTATGCCTGTCGAGGGGCATGAAAGGACTGTCCACAAGCCCTCCACCTGGGGGGAGATGGGATAATCTTTTTCTACAACAACAAGCTGACATTTCTTTTCTTTTCTTTTCTTTTACTCTCAGCTGAGATACTATTTTTTTCTTTTAAGATGAGATTTTGTTTTACTTTCCAAATTTTATTCATCTGTCATTTTCAATACACACATGGATTACAAAACTGTATCAAGAGGGCAACACCAAGATGACCTGCAAAAGGGATCAGAAAGAGAACTTGAAGTCCTAGAACAAAGGTAAAATTTCCTGAGAGTGTAGACATTTGACCAGTGGAAGAGCTGGACTTCAGAGGATGTGGGCGCCCATCATTTGAGGTTTCTGAAAGGAGATTAGGCAGCCATTTGTCCAGAATGGTATAAGTCCCTTCAGCTCTGTTATTCAGGGGTTCTGAGATCACATCTGCCAGCTACTTCAGAACCTCGGGGTGTGTAATCCGTCAGGTCCTGGTGATTTGAACTCATCTGAAAACTTGAAACTTTGAAAACTTACCATTTTCTTGCCTATTTTGACCTGCGTTTCTGCTCTGTCTCCCATGGTGCTGCATTCTATGACTTCCTCCGTTGATTAGCCAATCAGAAGACGAAGTGAAGCTTGTGAGAGACCCATTTCCAGCTGCAAGGGAGCTCCAGGGAGCTGCCAGGCTCAGGCAGAGAAGCCATCGGTGGTTCCATTGACTCAACAGGGAAGCCACTTAGTTTGGCTGCTCTGAATCACTTCCAGCTGTGGGAAGATGATTTCCAGCCACCAGGCAACCCTTACCTCATTGTGTCTGCACTCAATGATCCATAAAGTATTGCAAATTGGCACCAGAGTTGTCTTTTTTTTAATCTCTTCCCTTTGATTTTTTTATTTTGCATGCCTAGGAATGAGCACTATCTCTTTTTATTGATCCATAAGCTGTTCAAGGAGCCTCTCTGGCTGAAGAGCATTGAACATTGAAATGTTTTCGATAAATAAAAGAAGAGTCCGTTACATCTGAGCAAAGAGGCTGTGTTTGTTCAGAAAACGTATTTAAAATATACCAAACTGATTTGTTCTGACATTTTACTTGAGTTGCTAATTGTTGACTTTGTAATTGCAACCAGCCTCCACAGAGTCAATTTTTATTTCCAGGTCTTGGTGAGTCCAGTTAGAGAGATTCTCTTCCGTGGTTCTGCAACTCACCTGTAAGAAATTCTTTGAGGAAAGGATTTGGGCTTCCTCTGCAGTGTTTCTGTTCCTAAAATTACAACAAAGCCAATTATAGCATTAGGAATATTTAGAGGACCACATAAAAGAATATTCAGTGGTTCAGTGGAGGCTGCTGGGACTCCTTGGTGCTCTCCACCGTTCAACCCTGAGCCACAGAGGTTCCCATGAGCGCTTAATACAACAAGGGAGAAAATTACATAAAACGGAGCCTTTGAGCTGCGCCAAACACCGAGTTCAGGCTTCAATAAGGATTCCTTACGTTGGAGCGCCCTCTTGTGGCGCATACAAAAATTACATGTGTTAAAGAAAGATGAAGGAAAGTGTTGAGTTTTATATACATGAAGCGGATGAACCACCGAGCAATCAAAAAGAGACGTCTGAAAGACATCTGTAAAAATTAATTGGAAAAATAAACTGTCTCCCAGATGTAGCAAAAAAATTTAAATTTAAAGCACTGGAAGCTCAGATTGGGCGTCTGCCACTATAAACTGTATCATCCCCATTCCTTTCAGGGGACTCGGGAGTGAGGGGGCTTCTCTTGCCATTCTTCCTTCTTCCCTCCCTCCCCTTCAATCTAGCCTGATTTTACTGCAACCAACTTCCTTTAGTAAAAGAACTTTTTGCTTCGACCTGATGGAGTCGAGGATCTCTCTTTCCTAAGGGGCTCCCATGCATCTCCCCTTCGTTTTGCAGCCACGTAGCCTTCAGCCAATTCGGCTGGCCTTCGACCTGACTGCCAGGTGTGTTCCTGCACCCAAAACCTCACTTTGGTACGACTGTAGACCAAAGTAAAAATTACTTCCTCATGTGGTAATGGGGAGGGAATGTCGGCCTTAACAGAGGAAGAAAGAGAGATATTAAATAGGGATATTACTATAGAAGAGTTAAGAGAGGCAATTAAGAAACAAAAAAATAACAAAACCCCAGGGACGGATGGATTACCAAGTGAATTTTATAAAGGACTAGGAGATGTATTGGATTGGATATTATTAGAAACTTGTAATGAGGCATTAATCATGCCCTCGTCACTTCCCGTCTGGACTACTGTAATGCTCTCTACATGGGGCTCCCCTTGAAGAGCACTCGGAGGCTCCAACTGGTCCAGAATGCGGCCACGCGGGTGATTATGGGAGCGACACGGCGCACCCATGTAACACCGCTCCTGCGTGAGCTGCACTGGCTCCCGGTGGTCTTCCGGGCACGATTCAAGGTGCTGGTTAACATCTTCAAAGCGCTCCATGGCTTAGGACCTGGGTACCTACGAGAACGCCTTCTGCCACTGATAGCCTCCCACCGGCCAATACGCTCCCACAGAGAGGGGCTCCTCAAGTTGCCGTCGGTCAAACAATGTCTCCCCCTGGTGACCCTCAGGGGGAGAGCCTTCTCTGTGGGGGCACCTGCCCTCTGGAACGAATTGACCCCAGAAAATCTAACAGGAAAACAAACAGAGGAAGTAATTAAAGAATTAGGATTACAAATAGTAAAAAAGGTTAAGTATTTAGGCATATATTTGACAGCTAAATGTTCAACTATAAAGGAGAATAATTATGTAACTTTATTTTTTATTTTTTTATTTTTTTTGCTTTAATTTATGTGCCGCCCTTCTCCGGAGACTCAGGGCGGCTTACAATGCGTTAAGCAATAGCCTTCATCCTTTTGTATATTTATACAAAGTCAGCTTATTGCCCCCACAATCCGGGTCCTCATTTCACCTACCTTTGAAAGGATGGAAGGCTGAGTCAACCTTGAGCCTGGGGAGATTTGAACTTGCAGTAATTGCAGGCAGCAGATGTTAATAACAGTGCTTTAGTCCACTGTACTACAGGCTCTTTAGTTCAACAAATAAAAGAGGATTTAGAAAAATGGGGGAAACTGAAATTATCATTATTAGGAAGGATAGCAGCTATAAAGATGAACGTCCTGCCAAGGCTGCTTTATTTATTTCAGACAATTCCAGTAAAATTGGACAAAAATCTTTTTGTAAATTTGAACAAGATAACTACAAAATTTGTGTGGGAAGGAAAAAAGGCAAGGATTAAATTAAATACTTTGCAGGATGATAGAGGCAGAGGTGGATTTAGACTCCCAGCATGGGAGACATACATACATAGGTTGTTGAGTCTGCGGTGGCATACCAACTTCCACAATTCCTGGAGGAAACGGATTATCTGGACCCGTACCAATCGGGTTTCAGGCGTGGGCACAGCACGGAAACGGCATTGGTCTCCCTGGTGAATGATCTCTGGCGGGCCCGGGATGGGGGTTGTTCCTCCATTCTGGTGCTACTTGACCTCTCAGCGGCTTTTGATACCATCGACCATGGTATCCTACTGCGACGGCTCCAGGGGTTGGGGGTGGGAGGCACTGTCTTACAGTGGTTCTCCTCCTATCTCTCGGGCTGTACGCAGTTTGTTTAGGCGGGGGTTCAGAGATCCTCCCCGAGGCCCCTCGCTTGTGGGGTGCCTCAGGGGTCGGTTCTCTCCCCCCTGCTCTTTAACATCTATATGAAGCCGCTGGGTGAGATTATTCATAGTTTTGGGGTGAGGTATCATCAATATGCTGATGATACCCAGCTCTACATCTCCACCCCAGACCAATCCAGGGATGCCCTTTCCATGATGTCCCAGTGCCTGGAGGCGGTACGGGTCTGGATGGGCAGGAACAGGCTCAGACTCAACCCCTCCAAGACTGAGTGGCTGTGGATGCCGGCATCTCCTGATCTAGTTGCCCCATCACTTCAGATGGGAGGGGAGTCGCTGACTCCCTCTGAAAGGATTCCTAATCTCCTTGATTCTCGGCTGTCCTTGGTGGATCACCTGACGGCCATGACAAGGGGGGCTTTTGCACAGGTTCGCCTGGTGCGCCAGTTATGCCCTTTCCTAGACAGGGATGCCCTCCGTACAGTCACTCATGCTCTCATTATTTCTCGGTTGGATTACTGCAATGCCCTCTACATGGGGCTGCCCTTGGAGTGCACCTGAAGGCTCCAGCTGGTCCAGAATGCAGCCATGTGGGTTGTTAAGGGAGCTTCCCGTTACTCCCGTGTAACACCTCTCCTGCGCGAGCTGCACTGGCTGCCGGTTGCCCTTCGGATCCGCTTCAAGGTGCTGGTTCTTACCTATAAAGCCCTACATGGCATGGGCCCGGGGTACTTGCAGGACCACCTCCTACTGGCCTCCCACCGCCCTGTGCGGTCACATAGGGCTGCCCTCCTCTGGGTGCCATTGGTCAGACAATGTCGGCTGGTGGCCCCCAGGATGAGAGCGTTCTCGGTGGCCACACCGACCCTCTGGAATGGGTTACCCATCGGGCTCCCGACGGCCCCCGACCTCCGCACTTTCCGCACTGACCTGAAGACATGGCTGTTTCAGCAATTTCCCTGATCTGCTACGAGATTTTATTCTGTTTGGGGTTTTATATTGGCTGTTTTTAGGATTTCTTATTGTTACATGTTTTTATTCTGTGCGCCGCCCTGAGTCCTACGGGAGAAGGGTGGCATATAAATGTAAATAAATAAATAAATATTATAGAGCAATGAGTTTGACATGGATCAGGGAATGGGTGAATCTGAAAAACCAAAGACTGCTAACCTTGGAGGGACATGATTTGTTGATGGGGTGGCACGCCTTCTTGTGGAGCCCCAGGAACAAAACGCATAGGTATTTTTGCAATCATATGTTAAGAGATTCATTAATTTATACTTGGCAGGAAATTAAAAGTAAACACTATGTGAAAGTTCCTGGATGGCTATCCACAATGGAGGCAATGATACACCCAAATACCTTAGCAATTCAAAAAATGGCAAGATATTATGAAATTTTGGATCCCCAAGGAACACTAAAAACACAAGAGGAACTCAGAGATCAAGGAATACAGATAGATTGGTGGCCCTATCTTCAGATAAAAACAAGATATAAAAAGGATCAAGAGGAAGGAGGAATTGAATTAAAACCAAATCGGTTGGATAAACTTTTAGAAGCCACGGAGGAAAAATTGATTTCAAAAATATTCAAATATCTATTGGAATTTGATTTAGCAGAGGAATTAGTAAAAGGGCAAATGATAGCATGGGCAAGAAATATTGGGCATAATATAGAATTGGAGGACTGGGAAAAAGTGTGGGAAAATAACTATACTATAACAAAGTCAGTGGTTTATAAAGAGAATCAATACAAAATGTGGTATAGATGGCATATGGCCCCTTCAAGATTAGCAAAAATGTATTCAAATTTAAATCCAATCTGTTGGAAGTGCAAGCAGGCACAGGGTACCTTCTTCCACGTCTGGTGGCTTTGCCCAAAAATTAGGAAATATTGGGAAAAAAATAACAATTTGGCTAATAGAAATAACATCAGAAAAAATAGAACTCAAACCAGAGAAGGAAACTTCTCATGTGAGAGAGAGAAATTTGGCTAATCTTCCTACCTGCCTTTTGCTTTGAGAGAGGATGAAATGTCTGGCCCATTCAAGCAGAATATTTCTAAACTCTGGTTATTATGCTGGGAAATTTGATGATGAAAGAGTGTGAAGAAGCAATAGCCATTATTCACAGGGCGGTAGTTCACAGCAGAAAGTGTGCATTCTCTCACATGCACACTTCCTCTTCCTCTTTCACTCGCGTCACATAGAGAGGGGGGAGGGGCATTCCCTCCGACTGACAAGCAAGGGGTACTTAAAAGAGCATTGGGAAAGGATGGGTTTGACACCTGAGGCCTTTTCTGGATTAGGAGTGGAACAGGACTCGGAGCCAATGTTGCGGAGCGGCTGGTAAAAGTAAAACCACCCAGGAAGGAAGCCAAGCAATGACAATGACTCGGAGCGGAAATCCTCTTCCTAGCAAAACCACGAGTGACGCCACCACAAGTCTCAGCCTGGGAATGCCCAAAGACGATGCCAGCTCTGCTGACAGCTTCACGCCCCAAGCGCAGCTCCTGAGCTCCAGACCTTTGACCCAGAGAATCCGAGGACAGGAGGGCAGCTGGTGAATCAGCAGGGAAAGTCTCCCAGGCCGGAGCACCAGCCCCGAGGGGCTCCGACGAGTATTTGTATTTATTAGTTTGTCAAACATGTACAAGATAGCAGATATAAATATAAACATGGATATGAACAAAATAAATGGGGACGAATAAATGGGGACAGTAGGACAGGGATGGTAGGGACGCTGTTGCGCTTATGCACGCCCCCTTTACAGACCTCTTAGGAATGGGGTGAGGTCCACGGTAGACAGTTTAAGGTTAAAGTTATGGGGGTTTGAGGATGTAACAACAGAGTTGGGTAGAGCATTCCAGGCGTTGACCACTCTGCTGCTGAACTCGTATTTTCTGCAATCGAGTTTGGAGCGGTTTACCTTGAGTTTCTATTGTAGGAAGTTAGCATCCACCCCTCTCCTAGAAGAATGAAATATTTTAGGAAATATTAAAAGGGCAAAATATTTCCCCTAAAAGGGAGGCAGAAATTCAGCCCCCCACCTTTGTCAATGGGCCATTAAGATCTGAGCCAGTCCATTCTACATAACAAAGGTAGGATTAGCCCTCTACTCATCTAGCAACAGAAGATACCACATGGCACCTGGGAAGAGCCTTGGTAGTACAGTGGTTTAAAGCACTGTTATTAACACAGCTGCCTGCAATTACTGCAAGTTCAAATCTTACCAGGCTCAAGGTCAACTCAGCCTTCCATCCTTTCTAAGGTAGGTAAATTGAGGACCCAGTTTGTGGGGGCAATAAGCTGACTTTGTATAAATATACAAAAGGATGAAGGCGATTGCTTAGCGCATTGTAAGCCGCCCTGAGTCTCCGGGGAAGGGCGGCATATAAATCAAATTAAAAAAAAAAAAAGATTACATCACCTACAGCAAGGTTCAACCAAGCCTGGAACTCAAAATACAGCCTACAGAGTTGCCCCTGTATGGCTCCAATGGGAACTTGACAACCAATCAGAATACAAGCTCAAAGTCAAAGCCCAAGAGAGGGCATGAAACCAAGGCACGCTCAGCATCTCTGCCCTTTTCTGCTCAGGATCTCAAACCGTGTGATCCTGTCCACCATTAAACCATCTTTCCAAGCAGTTTCCGTGTTTCCAGTGTCTTTTTCCCCACTTGGAACTGAACCCAGATGGACATGTCTTCCAGCAGTATCTATTGTTTGCCCTATTGAGGTTGAAGCTGAAGAAGTCGTTGGCAGGTAAGACATTGTAGCAGATAGCTTTGTGTACTGTGCTTAGATCGGATCGCAGGTGGCACAGTTCCAGATTGTCCAAGCCCAGAATTTCAAGTCTGGTGGCATAAGGGATTCTGTTGTGAGCAGAGGAGTAGAGGACTCTTCTTGTGAAGTACCTCTGGAACCGCTCAAACGTGTTAATGTCCAATATATAGTGGGGATTCCAGGCAGATGAGCTGTATTCGAGAATGGGTCTGGCAAAGGTTTTGTGTCGGGCTGCCCCATCTCCTCCCTCTGTTTGCTAGTTGCATAAATGTACCTTTACATTTAGATTTTAGATTTTTTTCCTCAATCGAAAATAGCCCTAAACATGAAGCCAAAAAGAACGATGGTGCCTATATTAGCTTTAAAAATACTTTCATTTGTTTGTTTGCTTGCTTGTTTATCTTTCACTGAACATCCCATTTCCCTCAAAACGGGATTCTGGGCCATGTTGTGCTGAAGAACGTGGCCCACACAGGAATTTAAAAATTTTAAAATTTCCACACAGGAATTTTACTTTGTAGACGAAGTCTCAATCTGTGGAGCTCTGTCTGGTAGTGCAATTTCACCACAATCTAATTACTCTTTTTATGGGATAGATGGGTCAACTACAAAAAGTTATAATCTGGGACAATGATTGGACTTCATGTTCCATCATTCAGTCTTGGTTGATGAATCCAGCTACAGTCCTACCAGTATTTCTAATAGGAGTCCACAAAGGATGTTACTATCTGACAAGTAATCTAGGAGTATTGTAATCAATTGGGAGCATGCTTCATTCCCGTGAGGAATTCCAGGAATGGGGCCAAGACAAAAAAACAAAAAACCACTTCCTCCTAATTCATGCAAAGCTCTATTCTGCTGTACAAGGTTCACCCAAGGCAGCTTCTGCCTACGATTGCAAGTCTAGCAGATTTAAGGGCATCTCGGCTAGCTTGACTCCAACATGATGAGGGCACTACGGAATAATGCACCGGCCTTCACTGATGCCAGCAGCACTTTGGCACTTGGCAGTCAATGCAGCTGTTTCAGCAGTGATGTGGGTGATGTCACACGGCCCAAGGCCAGGGACCTCTTCAATGGCTGCAGTCTCCAGACCTGCAACTGAGCGTGTCTCCAACAGGCCATCTCCAGCAATGGAAGAGTGAAGGCAGAAGTCCCTGAGCTTGGATGCCCTGGTCTGCTGCTTGCGAGGGCCCAGAGGCATCTCTTGACATGCTGAACTGGTAAGACTCCAAGGAGTCCCTCCCTTGGCAATTAAGTCATCATTCACGAGCAGTTTCACACCGAATATCCAAACACGCATCATCGCTTTCAATAATTTCCCAGATGTCTAATTTTTATGCAAAGTTGTATTGTTTTCAAGGATTTCTCTATTTTCACAATCGACCGCATCCTTCCTGTTCTTAGAAGCTGGGAGGGGGAAGGAAATTCTGTGTGAGACAAACTTCCGTCTCCCCATCTGCCACAACCTATATAAGAGCTACCCGGGGAGAGCAGAGGCCAATCTGAAAAGGATCAGAGGATCAGGATCGGGAAGGAATCTGCCAGCCTTTTTTCTGCAGGTACAAAGTTTACCCTGAATTATCTGTCTCTGTGTTTGCCTTTCCATGTTTGCTCTAGATTTGCTCTAGACCCTAGCAAAGCAAAAGTCTCATCTGGACACTCAAATGAAAGACGCACTTTAATAAATATGTCTGTAATCTCTGACTCCAGGAGTCCTTCTGCTCTAATCGTGACAAGCTGACTGTCAGAGATAAGGGAAAAGAACTGACTCACTTTTCTTTCTTGTGCCTCACAGCATCAGCAAGATGCAGTTCTGTGCAGCGGACCAGACGTACCTGACAAAGGTAAGACGCTCAAGCATCTTCTTCTTCTGGAACAGAGCTCTGCTGGTCAGACAAGGACTTTTGGCACTTCCTTCATCAGCATTTGGCTGGAATTGCAAACCTGGGCATTTCCAAGCCATCTTGCGCTCCAAGGAGTATCTGGAGCTCAGCTGAAGCTCTTTAACCTGATGGACCTGCCAGACCTCTTTTTCAGCCTCTCCCTGTTCCTGAAGGGTGGGGAGGAGGAAGTGCCAAGGCCAGGATTAGACTCAGCATCTCGGGAACTTGATTGGTTACGTTTCACATTCCAAGTATTGTCAAAATCCTCCATCACTGGAATCGTGATAACTTGCCAAAAAAATTGCAAAGGATTCTAGGTCCTGCAATAGGGAAGCCACTAATGGCATCCTATTCCTAGATGGCCACTTCAGCCATCATGACTTATTGCTGAAAGCCACTTTCTGCAGCATCCTGGATTTGGGTTGCCAGCTGAAGGACTTGCAGTAATTACCTTTCTTGTTTAACCTGCTGCCATATTTACTGTCTGTGAACAGGTACCTCAATGTGTCTGGGGCAGAGGTGGGTTTCAGCAGGTTCTGACCAGTTCTGGAGAACCGGTAGCAGAAATTTTGAGTAGTTCAGAGAACTGGTAGTAAAAATTCTGACTGGCCCCGTCCCCATCTATTCTCTGCCTCCCAAAACCCAGCTGATCGGAAGGAAATGGGATTTTGCAGTAATCTTCCCCTGGATTGGGGAGGGAATGGGGATTTTGCAGTATCCTTCCCCTGCCACGCCCACAGGACCAATAGTAAAAAAATTTAAAACTCACCACTGGTCTGGTGTGTGTGTGTTAGATATAGATCATTGAGTTTATAAAAATGATAGCTGTATTTTATCTTCCTGGGATTCAGGTTTGAAGGAAGTTGGATGGGAAAGACCTCTGCTCCTCTGCTCCTTCATGGTGTGCACCTTTTAAAGGAGCAAACTTTTATAAAAACCTTCAGCTCATTTCTCTTTTGCCACAGAACACCTTCTGTGCCAGTAAGATGGATGTCCAGGTAGCAGTGACCAAGAATGAGCCCATGAAGAGCTTCAGGAAGGCTGTGCTGATTGTCATTGCGACCGAGAGCATGAAGAATTCTTCTCCCAAGCTCTTCTCGGATGACGACTTGATGGACATTCTAAACACAATCTTAGGTAGCTTTTGCAGCATCAAATGCCTACTTTATGTTTTGTGACTGTAAGAAATCCCTTCCAGCAGAATGTTATTTCTCAGGCCCAACAAGCGGTAGGAGAAACTTTGAGAACCAGATTTGAAGTGCTGCCTTCGTCCTGTGCTCTTATACCAAAGAGCAACAAGCCCTAGAATATACAGACTGGAACAAAACTATCGAGGATTGCTCCAACCACTTTAATGTTAGTTGCCCTGGACCAGATAGATTCAACTTGCAAAACGAGTGAGTGTTAGGAAAAGGTATCTGACAACTGAATGTTTAAGGTTTTGTTTTAGCAATCTTCCAGAGCAAGGGTCTCCAACCTTGGCAACTTTAAGGCTTGTGGACTTCAACTCCCAGAATTCCTCTGGGAGTTGAAGTCCACAAGTCTTAAAGCTGCCAAGGTTGGAGGTCCCTGCTCTAGAGGGTTAGACAAATTATCTATTTTGTGAAGAAATAATTCTATTTAAACTATGAGAGTGAATTAGGAGCTTTCCCCAAACTTGTCCTCTCCATCACCTAATCGTTTTAGGCTAACAGGCTCAACTGCTGTTGGAGGGGGTAGAATCTCCAAAGTCCATTTGGCTGAACTTGTGGGTGATTTGGTGGTGGCCACCTCAACAGTTGCCTTAAGCCTGATCTCTTCCCTTTTTAAAATATGTAAATTTTAATCTGTTTTTAAATTATTGGGGTATTTTAATTTGTCTGGGCCAAAAAGTTTAATTTGATTTTATCGGGTTTTTAAATTTTGTGTATTTATGTATTTTATTGTTGGCTGTTCACCGCCCTGAGTCCTTCGGGAGTAGGGCGGTATACAAATCAAATAAAACCAAAACCAAACCAAACCAAGTGGGGACTGAATAAATCAAATGAGAATGTTTTGTTTTTCTGTTCAGAACCGGTCACTTTTGACGTCTACGGGCACACAGAAGCCACTAGTTCCATCTATCGTATCTGGAGGAATTTCGTCTACAACATCCGAGACTCTGACCACAAGTCCCTCGTCTTCAAGGAGCCCGCACAGTTGGTGGCCATGCATCTTCAGGGTCCCAACATTGAGCAAGCAGGTGAAGCCCAGTTGCTACCTCTCCCTTGCCAGGCTGAATAAGGGGGCAACCCAGCCTATGCATTCCATCTTCTCTGTGTTAAGCCAAACAGAAAATGATCATTTTCACCACTGTTTTTATCTTTTCAGTGAAATTAAAAATGTCTGTGTATCGTCCACAAATCGAGGCTGGGACTCGAAAGGCCCCTGTGGCATTGAGCATCCAGAAGGGGAAGCTGTATATCTCTTGCGTCTGGAAAGAGGGACAGGCAGTGCTGCAGTTGGAGGTCAGTGGCTCTGTCGGTTTTTTTGAAGTGCAACCACGGGGCAGAATAAGAGACTCAGAAGGGACCTTGGAGGTCTTCTGGTGACTTAAAATGGGTCTTAAATCCAAGCAGGCTTAGCCTGACGAGGGTGGAAGGTGCCCATTTCCAGCTCTTCTTCCCTCTTTCTCTGAATAATCAGTGTGTGCTTGGAGCCCCCCCCTCCCCATCCCAAACAGGGGCTGCCTGTGAATCCTAAGGGAGAGGCAGCCCAGGATTCTGGCAAGTACAGCAATGGCCTTGATGAACACCAAGAAGGCTAATGACCAAACCTAGGAAGCCCCAGTTGTACCCAGCTTGAAGTGATGGCCATTGGGAGGGGGGGGGGCTGTGAGGCTATGGGGTTCCATGAGGTTCATCAGAAGGTGAGTCTGCAGTTAGAACAGTGCAGGGAAGGCCATAAAACCAGAGAGCTTGGTTGAAAAATCAAGTCAGCCCAAATGTCGTCCGACTGTTGGCTCCTGCAGAGTCGGGCGACACAACACTTAGGTGGGTGAATGGGGATTCAGCACTGAAAGACAACCGAGAAACAGTCAATATTTTGCTTGAGCAAGGGTTGGACTAGAAGACCTCTAATGTCCCTTCCAACACTGTTATTCTGTACTTCAGAAATCTTGGGGGGCTAAAGCAGGGCTCTCCAACCTTGGCAACTTTAAGCCTGGCAGACTTCAACTCCCAGAATTCCCCAGCCAAGAGTTGAAGTCCGCCAGGGTTAAAGTTGCCACGGCTGGAGAGCCCTGGGCTAAAGCAAGCTCACTACCCTCGGCATAGGCCCAAATGTAGACCATCCACTCCTCCCAGGCTGCGTTCCGAGAGCTAACCCAGGTTTTTCTCCTGCAGGAAGCCACCATCGGAGACACCCTCGACAAATCTCAGCTGGGCCGTTTCCTTTTCTACAAAATTGAGAACGAAAAGCAGACAAGGTTCGAATCGGCCGAGTGCCCAGGATGGTTCATCTGCACGTCCACCCAGTCTGAGCAGGCCGTTGCCATGACCAAGCAGCCCGGAGGCCCTCAGGTCATTGTGGATTACAGCCTCAGCAGCAGCGAGTGAGCGGAGCCTGCCCTGCCCTGCTCCAGACTTTGGACATCTTGGGCAGGCAAAGCAACACGAGGCGTCCCCGTTGTCGGGGACTTTTTCTTCGGCGGGAAAGTCCGAGATACAAACTGAGGGGAGGGGGGTAATATTTAATGTACATATTTATTAATAATTTAATAAATATTTGCCAATTTTTTACCAGTTTATATGATGATAAATTAAGTTTTGTATTTTTTATGAAAATATTGAAGCCTTTGTTAATAATTTAATAAATAATTTATGACAGATCGACAATTTGTAATCAATTTGTATGGAGAATCCCTCATTCTTTGTGCTCCAAATTAAGTGTGGGGGGGGGAGGGAATGCCAGCCAGCAGCTGGGGGCTGAAAGAGGCTCCTTGGGGAGGGGGACTCCGCACCCTGCTCTGCCAAGGTCTTGCCTGGCTTGACACCCCACCCCCCCAAAAGTGAGGCCACGGCTGCCTCCAGGCCAGGTGGAGAAAAGCCAGTGGCCAAATGGGGGAAGGGGCACAACCCCGCATTCCAGCCAGCAAGTGTCCTCCTCCTCCTCCTCCTCCAGCCAAGCGTCGAATTGGAAAAAGAATCATGTATTTATCTTTGCTCTGGCCCAGGGAAGATGGGAAACCACATATTTACTGACTGACTCATATTTATGACGGTCGCGGTGTCCCAGGGTCACGTGATCCCCTTTTGCAAGCCCAACGTGCTTTACAACTGTGTTTCTAATTTAACAACTCTCTGTTTCACTTAACAACGGTGGCATGAAAGGTCCTAAATTGGGGCAAAATGTACTTAACAAATGTCTCACTTAGCGTCAGAAAATGTTGGGCTCCATTGCGGTCGTACGTTGAGGACTACCGGTATGTGATAAAGCACTTAAGGTATTTATTGAAAGCAGCTAAAATAAAAACGGCAGAGAAAATACAGAGACCGCATGGCTTGAAAAACAGTGTTTAATGCTACTTGCAAGGTTCAGAACTCAATGCAGAGAAAGAAGGGAGGGAGGGAGGGAGGGAGGGGACTTCTGGCTCGAGAATAATCCGGTTTGGGTCTTCAGAAGCACTTCCGGTGCACAATTGAAGGGCCGGCTTCGTCATATTCTGGTTTGCTTATCCACATTTGCTGGAAGGTGGAGAGAGAGGCCAGAATGGAGCCTCCAATCCAAACAGAGTATTTGCGTTCAGGAGGAGCAATGATCTGGGGAAAGATTTCCAAAAGGGTTACAAGCGAGCAATCTCACGTTTCGGACATAGAGAAACAGCTGTCCTACAAGAGGTATGAATTGCATGTGAAAGAGGGTGAAAGAAAGAAAAAAGGAAGGGAGGGAAGGAAGGAAGGAAGGAAGGAAGGAAGGAAGGAAGGAAGGAAGGAAGGAAGGAAGGAAGGAAGGAAGGAAGGAAGGAAGAACTGCTTTTGGACTACATTCTGCTCTTCCATCTTAACCCTAACTTGGGTTGTAGATGTTAGCAGGAGAGAGAAAGAGCTTCCCTGAGACTAGAAAACATGGAGATCCATTTACTGATCAATTGACGGTGGAATCAGAAAGAGGTAATTATTGACATAAATGTTTTATAATCAGAAAAATAAAAATAAAAGAAAGAGGTAGGATTAAACAATTCTAACTCGAACAGCTATAAAGCTCACCTCCTCCCCACCCCCGAACAGAATACTTGGTATACTGTATGTATATTGGTATATGTATATTATGCAACATTTGTCCAATGTTTATATTTTGGGATGCTGCATTTGATTTTTTCCTAAATGTGCAGAATCCTAAAATCCACATCAATGGATCTTAAATCCAACAGAGTTGGATCAATCATCTGTTCACAGGAACTAGGCATTTTTTATTTAATTTCAAACATTTATATAGCTGCCCATCTTGCGACCAACGCTGGGAGGCTCCCAATCAAATTCTCCCGTGTTTTTATGGATTATCTCCTGCCACAGCTGCTGGTGGTTACCCCAAGGGCACAGGACTGATTTTTGTTCTCTAAGGTTGCACCATCCATACAGATTGCTGACATGCTAAACCAGCGGTCTCCAATCTTTCCAGCGTTGTGGACTGGGGGCAAGGGGCGGGGGGAGAGGAAATGGTTCTGTGTGAGCGGCAGGTGTGGGCGCTCCTGCGCACAGGCTCCATTTGCTCAAGCGGCAGACCCTCACGTGCTGTTGTGGCCCATCAGCGGCCTGTGCAGTTAGTAGCTGATTCCAACAGCGAGGAGGCTGGTGTGGTACTGCGCCAGCAGCCTGTGCAGCTGGCACTCGAGTCGGACAATGAGGAGGCTGAAGAAGATGTGGTGCCAGAGGCAGGGATTCAACAGGGCCTTCAGAAGCTCCCATAAGTGAAGAGGAAGAAGAGGAAGGAGCCTCTTCTGGATGCACGGGCGCGCAGAGCTGCCAAAAGGCAGGAGTGGCTCCTAAGGAGGAGGTCTCCTCGAGAGTAAGGCTTGGGGCTAATTGGCCACTCCCTTAGCCTATTTAAGGAAGGACGACAAGGCAATTTGCAGGAAACAACTTCGTTCACATTCCTTCGAGTCTTGATTACAGAAACGTTTGATTTCGGCTCTTGTTTTTCTCTTATCAGTTTTCCTGCAAATTGCTTCTGGGCATTCTGCCAACCACAGTAAGATTATGGTTATCTGGAATACTGTGCCTCAGAACTGAGTTATTATTCTTTGAATTCCTCTCGGCTGTTAATGAAGTTAAATTAACAGTCCTTGTTCAGAAAAGACTGATTTATTGTATTTGTGTTCGAACAACTACTAAGAAAGCTCATTAGTAGTCTTTAATTAGTAAATTAAGGTTTGTACAGACTTTGTGTGTGCTGCGTTCTTTGGGGTCCGTAGCTGGGGCAGAATACATGCACACGTGAAGCTCCATCTATGCGAGTGGTGGATGTGCTCACCACTCACACAAATGGAGCTCCCCAGGCCTGCATGAGTGTCCACCGCTCGAGCAAATGGAGCTGCGTGTGCTTGCCCACCGCTCTCACAGCCCAGTTCTGAATGGACCCACGAGACCACATTGTGGCCCAGTAGCCGGCCACAATGCAGGAATCAGGGACCCCAAAAGTAAACAGGCTTGCCTTAATCTTCATTGTGCTGGGAGCCAAGGCGGTGATTTCCTTTTGCATTCTGTCTGCAATGCCAGGGTACATGGTGGTGCCTCCGGAAAGAACATTGTTGGCATAGAGATCCTTGCGGATGTCAATGTCGCATTTCATGATGGAATTGTAGGTCGTCTCATGGATACCAGCCGATTCCATGCCTGTGGAGAGAGTGCAAGACCACAGATCCAGTGAGGGTTCAGAGTTGACCTAGAATTCCCTCTCTAGCTTCAAGGATGATTTTTGCATCCCAGTTCACCTTGGTTTATCACCGTCACTACCCCAAATACTACTACTGGGCACCATTTGTTTCCGCAGAATATCTTTGGAAAAGATGGGTGCCCCCTCCCGTTTCCAGCACTAGCGTTCAGGTGCTGATGGGCAAGGGCCTATGCAACGCATATAAAAAGAAGCTGAGCTTTGATTGCACCATCGTGGCTGCCATGTTGACTTTTTTGACCACGGTGCACAACAGAAAAACCAAAGCGATTTGTTTTATTGCTAGGTGGCGTGGAATTGCTAGCTTCACTGAAACTGTGACTTTAGGCTTCCCTACAGTTTCATTGCAAAGGAGCTCATGGCTTTCCCTTCGTCCTTTGTCCATGATGCCAAGGCTCACCAATGAACGAGGGCTGGAAGAGGGTTTCGGGGCAACGGAAGCGCTCATTGCCGATGGTGATGACCTGTCCATCAGGCAGTTCGTAGCTTTTCTCCAGGGATGACGAGGAAGCTGCCGTTGCCATCTCATTCTCAAAATCCAGGGCGACGTAGCACAGCTTCTCCTTGATGTCCCGCACAATTTCTCTTTCAGCTGTGGAAGATTTAAGGCCAGGGCACTGAGCATGCAGGTGTCAGGCGTGTAGGAACAGGCATAGGCTCCTCTGTCCTGCACTAATCCACACCTCCAAAGCACCGGAGGGCAGGACAAGAAGCAATGGTGGGAAACTAACCAAAGAGAGAAGCAACCTGGAATTAAGGAGAAACTTCCTAACAGTGAGGACCATTAACCAGTGGAACAGCTTGCCACCAGAAGTCCATCACTGGAGGTTTTTAAGAAGAGTCTGGACAGTTCCCTAAAAGAAGAGTCCTTCTGTTCCTTGGCAGAGAAAGAAATACTAATATAGTCCGTCCCCCCATCACTGCAGAGCCCGAGAGGCCCAATTCCACCTTACCGGTGGTGACAAAAGAGTAGCCTCTCTCTGTGAGGATTTTCATGAGGTAGTCCGTAAGGTCCCGGCCAGCCAGATCCAGGCGCATAATTGCATGAGGCAGAGCATAACCTTCGTAAATGGGCACGTTGTGAGTGACACCATCACCAGAGTCCAGGACGATACCTTGAAATGGAAAAAAAGGGGGGAAATGTGGTTTTTTTTATTTTTCCCCCACCTCCTAGCAAAAGCAGGGTGTGTAAAACCTCCAGAGAGATGCCCATTTGTGCGTGTGGCTTAAGGCTGCTGTCACAGCCTCCCTTCCCTAGCCTGAAGTCCCTTGGAGCAGGGGTCTCCAGCCTTGGCCACTTTATGCCTGGCGGACTTCAACTCCCAGAATTCCCCAGCCAACTGGCTGAGGAATTCTGGGAGTTGAAGTCCGCCAGGTGTAAAGTTGCCAAGCTTGGAGACCCCTGCCTTGGAGCATTCACAGGGGCCCAGGGTAGCTGGAGACCTACCCTTAGGGGCCACCCAGACTCTGCCCAGTATGGTAAGTATTGATCTCCAGCACAAGCTTATAAAGTGATATAACGCCCATCTGCTATGGCTTCACCTAAAGAATCCCACCAAGAGATTAAATGAGCCTGGCCAGAAGTTACATTGGAATTTTCCAAGAACCCTCAGGAGAAGGAGGCAGCTGGGGAAAGATGAGGGAGCCCTTCTAAGCAAGCCTTTTCCAGGTTCTGGCAGCCCCAGGAAGAAACGCAGCTGCTTTAAACGGCTTTGTTGCCCCTCTCAATAGTGCTGTTAAGGCTTATTTCCGGATTTGAGTGGTAGTTGCTGCGCTAAGTGTAGAGTGATTTAGATGAGATGGGTGGTGTAGAACAGTGATGAATTAAACGTTATGTATGCATGTATGTATGTATGTTACAAAATCACCCAAATGCAAATTTGTGAAACTGAAGACTGAAGCACTCACCAGTGGTTCGGCCAGATGCGTAAAGAGACAA